GCATTACTGGGGCATTCGACGATCGCCACCATCTCCATCGCCATCGGCTCCAACACCACTGCAACCACCATCATCACCATCATCATCACCACCATCACCATCATCATCAACTACTTTCATTGCTAACTAACGACAGACAGCTATTGGATTGCAACAGCAAATAAGGGCGTGTGCGGTAACGCCGACCATCAAAAAACACCAACGATAGTGGCTGTGACGGCTCATGGAAAATCGATATAGCAGCTACAAATATTTTTTTTCAGCTTTGCTATTTTCTTTTCTATGAGTGTTCTTTTTTTGGTTGTTCCCGTTGTTGAAGGAAAGGGGCCATCTTTTTCAGCAGCTTCTTTTTTGCAATTATGCCTTTTGCAATTGCTTTAGCTTCTTCTCCATTACTACTACTGTTTCTACGTCGTCGACTGTTTCTGCTGCCGCTGCCATCGCTCACATTACTATACTAAACTTCCTTTTACTCTAAAAAAAGCTAAGGGGAAAAAGAAAGGACTTTTTCTTCAGAAGAAGGTAGCGAATAATTAAGTTTAAAAAAAATAAAAGGCAGAAATAAAGCTCCATAATTATTATTACTGTTGCTGCAGCTGTTATTATCGTTACCATTATTAGTATTACATCAAAAGGATATACTGTGCTATTCTATACAACTCTCTGCTGCTTTGACCAAATTCTTGGGTAATTCAGTTTGAAAGCTGTAAAGAGAGTTTTGAAACAGAGAGCAAAATAAAAGGCTCAGTGGAACTGCCGAAAACAACATTAATTGTTAGAAGAGAAAAAAATAAAAAAAAGAAAAAGAAAGCTAGGAAAAAAATAAAAGTCAAAAATGATAAATCTTTATTGCTTACTGCTACTCTTACTGTTATTGACAATAATTAGCAACACCGTAATATGCCATTCGCCGGCTTCTGAAGCAAAGCCATCAAAAAAACTTGCAAACGGTACTGCTGATCGGTTAAAACTTCCTGTTTCCGACAAAATTACATTGTTACAGTACAATACTGCTACAGCGGACGGTACGGGTAGCGGTTACGGAATGACATCAAATATACGTGGAAAAAAGGTATTACAGATTTGCAACTTTATCCCTGTTTACCACTACTTTAGGTGACAGAGAGTCAAAATAAAATTTAGATATTGACAGAACAGTAAGAAAATCTACTTAGTACTGCAATTTTGGCTTCTATTATGCCACTTTATGTTTGTTTATTACTGTTCTTTTTATTATTATTGCTTTTACTATTATTCATTATCTGTAGTTATAATTCTATTTTTTCTCGTTTTTAACAGTAGAATAAGATTTAATATCATTATTCAATTGATATTTAAGGATGTTTACAAAAGCAAAAAGTCACTACTTAAGGTTGAACTGAACCTATCTGTTTTACAGGATAAAGATGACAAAACCATATTAATCAAGAAAAAACGGAAACGATACCGTCGTCTGCGTAAAGAGATGAAAAAAATTAAATCATTTCTGGACGCAAATAAAGGCGCTAGAAAAGGTTTGTTTTCCTAAAATATCCTGTTTTACTTTGATTTTTCCTCCTTGTTTAGTGGTAGCAGCCATTTTTCTCAACAAATATTGCTTTGCTAAGCTTTGATTTAAAAACTACGAAAATTTACAGTGTTTTGCGTTATTTGCAGAGAAAAGGAAGGGGAGGGGTAGAGGGAGCGAAGGCGGACAACAGCTAATCATTTGTGTTAAATTTGGTTATCTTTAAAGTTTTTTGCCTTAAAAATTTTTTTCTTTTTTTTTTTCTGCTTGTTTGCATTCGTCATCTATCAATCAACAGACTGTCTTCCAAAATGGTTATTTGAACGAAACGGACAAACGGAAGGAGGTTTTGTGGCGCCGAGTGTTGTGGGAGAGGGGGAGGGGGATAAGAAAGGGAAGGAAGGATAATTGAAAGAGAGAAAAAGAGAAAAAAAAGGAGAAAAACGGCTGAACCAAAAAAAAAGAAAGCTTGGCAAACGAAAACAACAAGAAAAAATGTTTTTATTATTTTGTAGGAAGTTTTATAAAAGGAGCAAAATTGGAAAAGTGTCGAGCAAATTGTGACTGGCGTAAACGGTTCTCAATTAAGTGGAAAAGGCTGAATGCCCGAGTTAAGAAACTGGAGGCTTGGCGTCGGAACAATTCGAACAAAAAGTCAATCAAAGTACATATTTTCTTTCATCCATCTATTCTTATCCATCGCAAACTATAAAGTTCAAAAAAGATGTTTCAAAAAGCTGAAAAAAATTTTGTCTACGTAAAAAAACCGGGGACTAAGAAGAGCGTTGCAACAAGCGAACAAGGTTTTGAAGCGATGAAGTTGGGGACTTATCTATCACCATCAAAGTAACTAACACTCGCTGATAACTGCGTTGTTTGTCTACCTAAAAAACTTCAGAAGATAACTAAGGAAATGTCGCACAGATTGTGTGGTTGCCTAATAAGACACTTGCATAGCTGAAAGGGACAGTGTTATCAGTATCTGAAACTGGGAAAGCAGGTAAAGGAAAAAGAATAAACTATGATTGAAAAAACCATAAAGAAAACAAAATAGGGTAAGCAAAAATTTATTTTCTCTTCAACGGGAAAGCGGAAAAATAGTATACGTTCTATAAAAGGAGAGAAAAGGTTTTTTTGCTGTGGTTTGCTTCCGCTTCTTTTAAATCCATTTTTGTTATTACTCTCGCCTTACTATTTTTCCTTAACGAATTTAGATAACTTTCTTTAGTTTTACCTTCTCTGTTTTTACCAAATTTTTCAGTCTTCCTTCTATTTTTATTCTAAGTCTTTTGTTTTGCTTTCAGGATTTTGCTAAGGTTTTTGGTCGATTAAACAACAACAGCAAAGGAGCGGCAGTTCATTCGTCGAGCAGCAACAACAACAGAGCTAAAAAAGGATCAAAAAAATTGGTGTTGGCTGATGAAACATCAGTGGAAAAAAGACACAATGTTAGCAAAAAGGACTGTTGCAGTAAAAAATGAGATGTAGAAAAACAACTATTTTTGGGTTTTTTATCATTGAATGTCAGCTAAAGTGGAAAAAAGTGTCGGACAGACAGAACACACATTAATGTTTTATTACCATTAAAAATGTATCAAATGAAAAGAAAGAAAAATATAATGAGAAAAAGACTAGTGTGAAAGGCGAAACTTTAAATAGAATTATTAATACTAAAAAAGCTTACAAAGACAAAAAACAACGAAACAAATGAGGCAATAAAATTCTGTTGCTTTTTCTGTTTCTCCCACTTTCACTGATATTTATTAGCTTTTGAAATTTGGCTAAATTACTGAAAACAATGAATGAAATTGATCATGTTTTTGTTCATTTTATTACAGCTGGATGTTCTATTCTCGTCGGTGAACCAGTCGCTAAATGGTGATTCTGGGCGTCCCTGTAAGGCACATCAGGACTGTAAAGCAGGTAAGCAATCTTTTTTTTTTTTTGATAAGTTAGGAGAAAAAACTGGTGGATGAAGGAATGACTGGAAGAGTTGGGAGTCATTGGTCA